GATAGACAGTGAATTAATTCCTTAATATATAAATTGTATGAAAAAGACAAATAGCACAACAGAAAAGTCAAATGAACAGGTAAGTTACAAAAGAAGACCTTTAAGGGGCCAATCAATGTGTGTGCCTGTGTAGTCAAATTCATTATCAGTGAGAAAAAAGTAAAGTTTTGAAAAGCTGTGATAAAATCTTGCCTAATAAATAGCTTCCTCAAAAATAAGCAAACTAACTACCAAAAAATCCCAAAGTTGGAGGGTGTATGATTAAATGGCTGCTGCACTGCTGGTGGGTGTGTCAGTTAGTTCACTAATCTAGTTACAATTTGGAAGAGAAAAGGTTTTTAAAGATGTTCACTCCCTTTGACCTGGCATTTTCTTTTACTCAGTAGAATTTTATCCTGAGGAAATAATCAGAGGTGCAAAATTATGTACAATGCAGTTCATTATAACATTATTTAAATAACAGTATATTAAAAGTCTGACAAGCAGGTACGGTATCACTGTATGATGGATTATTCAGCAGCCATGGGCAAAATCCCATCTGAAGAGCGTTTATTGACAATGGGAAATGTTAGCGATATGTACACTGTTAACATTAGTTATCTTTGAGCGGCGTCATTATTTTGCAGTCAACAACCTTCTGACTCCGTGAAAAGACATTCTGTTAGGTTGTAGGACATTAGCACAACTGTGATTCTCTTTCTGAAGGAATGAAATGATTATTAAGGAGCAGTTGAAAAGCCTAAAGAACACCTGGAGAGTCACCTTTGAAAAATGACCTGGGCTTTACAGTAAAATATTGAGTTTTTCCAACTTAAATGTTTTGTTTGACGCTGGAAAACTTGTTCATTAGGACAGTCTCAAAACACAAAATACATTGCTCCAGGGTTCCCCTTGTCTTTACACCCAACCATCAATGTACCTATGCTTTACTTTATGAAAAAGTGTTTTATAAACGTTCAAATTTGAAGTATAGATAATCTAATCTTAAAAGTGGAGGGAAACTAGAGATGAACTGACTGGTTCATCTGCCTCATTTAATTGATACGGAATTCAAGATCTAGAGAGATTAGGTGATTTGCTTAGTTACTATCCTCTACATATGATAAATCGCTTCCACAAATAATGAGAAAACTTATAAAAGCCACAATGATCAAGTGGACAATAAAAATGAACAAGTGAGTTACAGATGAAGAAATGCAAGTGGCCAATAGACATGTGAAAGACCTCAACTTCAGGAGTAATGAGAAATGTAAATTAAAAAAAAACAAACCTATGTGATCCTTCATTTTGCTTAACAGATGACCGCATCCCCAAACAAGCAAACGAACAATCTGAAGACCACACAATCAAAACACTGGGGCAACAGCCGAAAGCTCCTGTCACATCCTTGCCAACATCCTTCCCCTGGTACCTGGGACACACTCAATAATAATGCCTTGAGAAGAAAAAGAAAAGGGCAAATATCACAACAGAACACTTAAATGAACAAGTAGGTCACCAAAAAGAGGTGCACGTTAAGTGACTGAATAAGGAATATTTTATTCACATGGAAAGATTCATAATAGTGTGACTTTATGTAGTATCCTAATTTCTAAAGCCAAGTTCAGAGCAAACAGTAGATTCTTGTTTCTACCTCTTCAGGCACAGTTAGGGGAGCCTGCGTTCTTAGTTTCCTTTTCAACCAAGGCTGAAAGCCTTTAACTCTGGTATTTAACATTTTAGGTATTCATATCTTAGAACAAACTCCCTTATGCTGCAAATCATGGTTTTATGCAAAGTAGAACTCATTATAATGCTATAACTGTTAGCAGAATTCCCCTCAGATTACCTAGGAAGCAGCGCTTAATTCCAGACTATTAAATCACTTTCTTACTTCCCTCTTTAAGAATCAGAATTTTTCAACAAGTGATTTCAAAAAGTCCTAATTTTGAATTAGGTGGAGTAAAGCAGTGAGAAAATTTTGGCAAGACCTGACTCCATTCTAGTTGATACTAAATAATGCCAGAAAAGAAACAATTTTCCATTTGAGTTAATCCAAAATATATGAATTTAATAAGCGCACTGGCTGAAAGAGCCTGCATACCAACAGCGTGGATCTTTTATCTGAAAATGCTGGTCTGCTTGGTTTTAGGAAAACAGATTCCATGTTCTTACTCCTGTTCGTTTAAAAAGTGGTTTTCTTTTTATAAAGGTTAATTCATTTCTTGTATTGCATAACAGCAATATTACCTATTACGTGTTTCAAAGAAGAAAATATGCATATTTGCCCTTTAAATTATGTTCCCAAAGCAAGCACTTGGTTCCGATGGCTTACAACTTTATTATGGTCTCCCTTTAGGCTTCTTAAAATAAACACGTAGCCCGAGATCATAGCCAAGAGAGAGGGGAAAAGGACACTGTTTTATTTCGTCCACAAACAAGGAAGTCTAAAGCCATGATTTTCTCAGCTGAGCCCATTAACATATCCTGAGCATATGTGTGTATGGAATAGATTTCTTTTGAAAATAGAACTACCGTTAGCTTCCACACTATGAAGCAAATGCTGGGAAGCGAAGACTCCCTCCTCCACTGAGAGGCACCTGGGGTTCCAGCTCAGCTTGCAGGGAAAGCATCCTAGCTTCCACAGGATCAGCTGAAAGGCTGGCTCAGCCCTGGAGACGAGCTGACTGGGCCTTGGGGGATCTGCTCCACAATAAGAAGGTCTGAACTACTTCAGACTCCAGAACGAGGGTCAGTAAACTATGGTTCTAGGGCCAAAGCTGGCCTGCTGCCTGTTTTGTGAATAAGGTTTTCTTGAAACACATCTGATCCCATTTGTTTATGCATAGTCCATGGCTTTTCTTGCTACAACGGCAGAATTGAGTAGTCTGCAAAGCCAGAGATATTTACTATCTGGCCCTTTACAAAAAAATCTTGCTGACCCTTGCTCTACAGGAACCTGGGCTGGATGGTCACCACTACACTTTATCTAGCACCAACCTCATAGCAAGCAAAAACCACCGGATTACCCACTTTTAAACCACGTTTTGCCACTTTCAGGTCTCAGGAGGGTATGTTTTTTGAGACTGGATCTTCGGAGGCTTTTTCTTTTTTTCAAAATTTTTATTATTATTATTTTTTTTTGAGGAAGATTGGCCCTGAGCTAACATCCGTTGCCAATCCTCCTCTTTTTGCTGAGGAAGATGGGCCCTGTGCCCATCTTCCTCTATTTTATATGTGGGATGCTTGCCATAGCATGGCTTGATAAGTGGTGCTAGGTCCACACCTGGGATCCGAACTGGTGAACCCTGGGCCGCAGAAGCAGAGCACGTGAACTTAAGCACTACACCACCAGGCCGGCCCTTGGAGGCTTTTTCACATGGGAAAATTATCATGGAGTGCCAAGCCACTCTTGAGTAGAACTTGACCCCACACTCTCCTTTATCAGAGGAGGACACTTGCCCTGGGTTTTGCAGTATGGCTAATGCGGTATGATATCTGTGTGCTCACATACACCTGCACCTGCTAAGACTTATGCCTTGACACCTTCTGGTCCAGATTCCCATTCATAGGAGAACAAACCCAGAGGCTATAGCTGAGGCTGATCTGATCTGTACCAATTTTCCACTGAATGAGCAGGTTTATGACACAGAAGCAGTGAGGTTTAAGTGGGGAAGAATTTTGGCTGAGTTGGCAATAGAACGGAAATGGAAGTGGGCATGGTTTGTGCCTGTTAATGAGCAATCAGATGAGGAGAAGGTAAGATGTGATTCCGAGGCCCTCATTTCCTACAGATGTGAATCATTCTGGTTTGCCCAGGCACTCTTATCTTTCTGCTGCACCAGGAGCTTAACCATCAGTGGGTAGAAAGGCAGGGCAGTGATGCTGGGTGATGCAGTGTTATGGTCATTGGGAGGCTTCCAAATTTTCAGAAGGCTGAGAAGCAACTTTTAGGTTTCTCAGGTCTACTGTGGACAGATTCTTGGAGGAACCGTCCTGCACGTTTAGTTTGTCACTGGATGAGGAGGTCATATGAATGGATTATCAAAGGTCAGGCTGTACCCATGACACGCAGAGGTCGATGGGTGCCTGCCCTCTGCCATGGTAACCAAAAGGACAGTCATGGGCTCGTGTTAGGCTGGAAGGGAGATAGCAGAGGTGTAAACTCGCAGCCCATGGGTTGATTCAAGTCAGCAGACATATTTTGACTGGCCCATGAGTCTTTTATAAGTTAATCGCTAAACTTTACAAATGGGGATATTTCATTTAAAACCTAGATTTCCAACTTCTCTTGAAAATTCAAATCTCTGGGCGCCCTGGGCTTCATTCCTGCTTGTGAGTGATTGCCTAGAGTGGAGGAACGGCCTCTCTTCGGAGGAAACCTGAGTTCTCCAGTTTTGTTCATTTGTTTTTCCTTACACCCAACCTGTTTCAGGCATTGGTGTTATCTGCCCGGCCCTTAGGGCCTTTGAGTTTACAACCCCTGTTTAACGTGTTACACAAAGAATTTGCACTGTTGCAAACTTAAGTTCCTTGGGGGTCATTCTATCTCTCCTTTGTCCCTCGCTAAGAGTTTCTAGCTCACTTTACCTTGTGATTTAATCATATTCCATTGTGACTCTACTGCTGAATGGAATAAACAGCCCATTTTTGCGAAGATCCCTGTACTCTGTGTCACTAAGCATATAGGGCCATTTGTTATATTGATCTGAATGAATATAAAAAGTAAATGTATTTAGAGTGTGAGGGTGATCTTAGAATGGCTAAAAACTAGTCTTTTGCTGTGAATTACTATTTCCTCCCCATTATGTTTCTGGGGATGATGCATCTCACAGTTCCTGAAGAAGATGGGAGCACATTCGCAGGGATGTGTTCACAGGATGTATTTGCATGTAATAACACTTGTTGGTTTGGAAATAATTGTTGCTAAGACTCTCAAACCGGTCTTTTAGGAACCCTACATTTCTCTTTAGGTGGAACAAAAATGGAGACACACAAATAAAATAAAAAAAAATAGGTACCTGTCATACTGTTGGGAGTCATAGGTTAGTAATCATTCTGGACCCTTTTTTTCACTGATATCTCCTACAAAGAAAAAGACAACAAAAAATACCACAGGTTATAACCTGTATTTTCCATAATGTTTTTGTTCCAAACAATATCGCATGCATTAATTAGCTTGAGGCAATCTGTTACCCTCCAGTCAGAACTGGGAAAATTGAAGCATAGGTGGACTATGTGATGTGTGTAAGTTTACAAGACATTTTAACTTTAATCTCAGGGTTCCTTCTATAACTATGTTTTCTAAATAATATTTTATTTAAGATCACATGCCTATTTTTCCATCTCAAGTGTTTAAGAAAGCTACCAGTGCACTGACTTGCTATTTTCCCAGGAGTGGCTAAGAGATATTAGTGTCTTCAATCTAGATTCTTGCTTCTCAAAGTGTGGTCTGTGGACCAGCAGTCTCAGCATTGCCTGGGATCTTGTTAGAAATAGAAAATGTGGGTCGCACCTGAAACCTACTCAATCAAATCTGCATTTGGACAAGACCCACAGGTGATCCACGTGCACTTTAAAGTTTTAGAGACAATGTTCTGGAGAACGGAATCCAAATTCTCATCTTCCTATGTGTGACTTTCCCTCAGTCAGGGCTAACCTCCTCCCCCTCACCACTAGATCAATGCCATCCCAGAGCAGCAGTCAGCCTGGCCCCAGCCGGGGACAGTGGGCGTCAGTGCCCAGAGGTGTCCTGACAGAGGGAAGAATGTTGAAGGACACACACAGATGGATGGTCCAGATGGCTGATGAACACGGGTCAGAGGCCTTCAGCATACTGCTGGGCACAGATCAAGAGGTTTCTTTTTCTAGAAGGATCTTCTCCTTTCATGGGTAGGCAGTGGTAGCATGGTGGCTTAGGAATAGCACAGAAGCCCAAGGCACAGGTTCGAGCATCAGTACTGTCACATACTAGCTGTGGGATCATGACAAGTAATTTCAAAGCACTGGAATCTCCATTTCTTCATGTGTAAAATGGGGAAAATAATACTTGCTCTACTCTCTTCACAGGGCTGATGTTTCTGAGGTTTAAAGACGATGTGAGTGAAAATGCTGGGTAAACCATAATGTGCTGCGCACACAAAAGCCATTGGCTGAGAGAGGAAACATCTTGATTTTAAATAACTGGTTGGAGAAAGGGAAGTATGTGGAAGAATATGTATGTAAATTTTGTTTACAACACGGGTTTATATATGGCCGTGCATTCCCTGTCTCTACATCTAATACCGCAGCATTGAATTCACACCTTGATTGTAGTTCTCGTCACACCTGTGGTAACTACACATTTACATGGCTGCCTTTCCCAGTAGACTGTAACCTCTTTGTAGCAGAGACTATGTCTTTGTCATTTTTATATCTGGCACATTGAGCAGCATGTCAGATACATAATAATTACTCAACAAATATATGTTGAAAAACTGAACAAAATAAAATTAATGACAATTGATATGACATGGTATAAGCTACTTGAATTGGCATCTGATAGAAGAGATGAATATTAACTACTAGGAAAACACATTCTTGCTACTGATTAACATTTCAAGATCACCAGCCACAAGCCCTCTGCTCCATCCTTATTCTCCTGTCCAGCTGGGTTTTGAGTCAGAGGAACCCGGTTCTGAGACAGCATAAGGTGAGAGCTCAGATCATACCTGTAGTATTGAATATCTGTTGCTCTTCACAGAAACTAAGCTGCCCTTAACCTCCCCCTCCCCACCCATGGAAGTTGCCATGTTTTCACATGACACTTGTCCTGAATGTTCTGATGAGGAACTTGGCTCAAGCTCAGCCAACCTCAATGTTCCACCTTTGGCCAAATTGGTTCAAGACCTGAGGTGGGCTAATAAGATGCTTTTTCACAATGTTTGAAGAGAGGAAAAAAGAGAAGGGGGAAGGGAGAGAGAGAGGAAGAAGGAAGGAGGAAGGTTATTAATCCCTCTCTGGTGGCAGAACTTATCAGACGCTAAAACTCTAAAACTGTTTGAGGCCATGTCTCCCTCAGCCACATGGAAAAAGCCTGTCTGAAGTTGAGAAAGAGAAATAATCTGACATTCACAGAAAACAGGTGAGAAGAGGATTCGGTGGCCTCAAACCCCTGCTTTCAGTTCTCTCTGAGGCCAAATACCTCAACCCTTCCTGAGCAAAAGGGTCCCGTTTTTACGTAAGCTCGTTTGAGTCAGGTTTCTGGCATTTGCAACCAAAAGAATCTTGACTGATAACACCAATAATAAAATACAACATTTGATACAAACGTGTCAGGACAGTTTTGTGTCCTTTTTGTCATCTTTAAGGTGAAGCTACAACATCCCAGTTATGTTCTTGCTACACCATCAATTTAGAAATATCTTTGTTGTCAAAATTTCAATTGGACAGGTATAGGAGCTACAGAAAGGTATTGTGTGTGAAGCAGAAAAAAATTTTATTAAGGCTTTAAAAATATTGCTTTCACTACAAAACTTAGTACTATTTTTCTAACACTATGGTATTATACGGTACTATCTAGTACTATAGTACTTTAGTATTACTATACTATCACCATTACTATAGCATCAATAGTATACTATTTTTGTATCACTATAGTACCATATATGCTATTTAGTACTATAGTACTTAGGCATTAGTATTATTATACTATACTATTACCATTACTACAATAGTGATAGTATATTAGTGTTACTATTGCTATAGTACTTTAGTGTTTAGTAGTATTTAGTGCTCTTTTCCTTCAACAAGCTCTAGAGTTTTAAAATGTAATTCAAGGAAAGCTTGTAACAATCTCCAGGGTAGGCAGGTGTCTGGAGCTTCATTTCCTGGTTATCCTATAATACAATGTGGGATCAGCAGAGGGCTCTGTACCGAGGAGGGGAAGCAGAGAAGGTCCTCTCCAGAGCCATGGCAGGGGCCTGGGGCTCATCAGCCAGTCATAGGAACACGGAGAAAACAAAGTCCAAAGAACTTAAAGAGAAAGAAAGCTGAGTTTACTTTACCTGCCAGGAAAGGAAACAAACACAGAGAAGGGCTCCACCGAGTGGTCAGTGAGGAGGAGGGGTCAGGTGGTGAGGTGTTAGAAAGAGGTGGCTATGCTAATGAAGGATTGACAGCTCCTGTGGAGGAAGGGCTGGTCACAGGCTTGCATATCATTCCTTAAAACAGGTCCCACTGCTCATCGGCAGGGAGGAGTCTTCAGTTAGATGCCGTGAGGGTCTGCCATCCAGGCCCCTCAAAATTGAAGGCCCTTTGACAGCTTAAACATTTCGGCACCAACTGAGGAGGAGAAGGGTATCCAGTTTAGTCTCCTAGGTAAGTGCTACTGAAATGGAGAATATTCCTTTCACATGAGTCATTAATTTATTTGGTTGGCTGGTCCAGAGGCCTTGATTGAAGGTCTATTCTGTTCAAGAATTGCTCCAGGCTTTGTCCAGATACAACACTTCAGCCTGTCCACAGGGGGCTTCTAATCTGACAGAGGGAGAGAATCACACTAAAAAACTGCAAAAACATACACAGCTTTCAGCTTAAGTGTCTCTTCAGAGCAGACTGGGACACCAAGGAAGGAGAGGTCATTTCTGCCTGGGGCTGTCTGGAACGGTTTCTCAGTACAGGTGACCCTGGACTCGAAGGCTCTTCTGTTCAATAGGCCTCTCCCCAGGTAATGACTTAAGGTTTAATTTCATCATTGTGTTCCCTAGACACATGGACTACTCTGCAAGAAATGGGCCTTGTAGAGAAAAACTGTGCAACTCCTTTAAATTATGCAGGTCTTAAGCAGGGGAGCAAGACGATCTAATTTGATCATTCAAAAACTCTAATTTGAGTTTTTAAAGCTTCACAGTGGCTGTTGTGTGAAAGCAGACCAGTCAGGGGGTTTGGCAGTTCTCGGAGACAGAGGGAGGTGGTTAGAACTCAGGTGGTGGCAGTGGAGGCGCTGAGAATGGGGAAGGAATCTGGTGACATTTAGGAGTTAGAAATAATATAAGACTTGTTGATGAATGTGATATGAGCATTTAATACCGGGATAAACACCGGAGACGCAAATAGGTTAAGACCAGAGGCTCGTGGCCCTCAAGTAATTTACAATCCATTTTACAAGCTGGCTGGGAAGGTGAAGCCCATTGGCAAGGAGCAGCTAAAAATACAAGCCACAGATGCCATGTACCAAGAGGGCGGTGCTGAGAATCACTCCTTGCTGAGCCTTCCGCTGCCCACTCTCTCATTCTCAGTCTAATGCCATGTTCCTTAGGTAAAACTCATTCTCCTTGGAAGAATGGAAAAGTAGACATTCACCTCTTAAACACATAAAATGCATTTATATTTTAAAAATACAAATGAGGGAAAAGTTATTATTGAGTACTCTGAAACTGAAAAGTAAATGGAATTATTATGGAGACTTAGGAAATAGGTCCAGGGACTTTGGAAGACATTGGTTCCAAGCAACCCTCTGTGAACTGTGGCTGTTAATAATTCAGAGGTTATCTTGGGTTGTGTGGACAGAAATATAGCCTGTAGGACTAGTGCCAGACTATATTTAGGCTGCTACATTTTAAGAGAGAGTCTCATGTAGATTGTCCAGGATGATGGAAACCACATCTTAAGGAAATGTTACAGGTAACCTAGAAAGGGGAGGAGTCACATGAAGGTTAGAGAGTGGTCTTCAACTATCTGAGAAGCTGTCATGTGGAAGAGAATTTAAGTTTGTCGGTAGACAGAGGACGGGTGGAGAGATGCTGCTGGGGACTGCTGAGAGACAGGAGACTTTCTCTACTCCACCTTAGGTCGGAGAAGATGCACATCTTATAGGCAAAGGAGCACACTCTCCCTACTTTGGGCTGCTCTTTGTTCTCAGGGCATATTAAGCCTCTCTTGAGAAGACCAGTGTCTTTATTCTGCAACAAAGTAGGTGCCATGTGTGATATAGTTTCAGGGACATGCTAAAGCTTACTCCCTGCTCCCTCTTAAAATTCTCCTCTAAAGCTTCATTCCTTTAGCTTAGTGGATCTCACACATTTGGGGGGGGCGTGTCTACTGAA